ACTGTCTGAACACATCTATAAACCATGTGATTGGATGAGAAAGGGGATTAATGCACTAAGGATCCACGGCAACATAACTGGAATGGTATCTGGATACTAAAGTTCCACATTCACAGCTCCACAAACAAATTCATTGAGCAAGTGATATCATCCGATTCAGTTCCAAGGAAAACCACAATCCCCACGACAGACTCACTTTCTTAAATCTAACTACTCTGTAGCCCACCTTTTCGGGAATAAGGCCACAGGCATTGTTATGAAATCACTCAAGTTTTAAGATATTAAATATGCTTCCCCTTGAAGAAGCATCTCTTCTCTAATATTGAATGAAATTACCTAACCTTATTTGGAAAAAGAAGAACAGCTCTTTTCTAATACTACTTGGTGAAACAATATTTGGTGGTTTGATTTGAAGCCAATAAGGCTGTATTTGCTGGGATCAAACAAAATCAGATTGTGGTGAGATTGGGAATACGCAGGGGAAAAGTGTAGAAGCGCAAGGAGACGGAAGGAAGAAGATGGACAAATTATGGCATAAACTTCTTGGTCGTTGACTGATCTGGGTTCTTAGAAATTGAGGATATAGTTATTGTGTGATCGCACAAATTATGGATTTATCCAGTAAAATGGGACGACAAAGAACAAGGTAATTAATAGTGAATTTTTTGTCACTATTAAGTCACCTAGCAATCCTCACCTTTCATGGTCACTACCTAAATGCACAATTGAAATAGATACAACTCCTGATTCAAGTCCACGCGTTAACTCTGAGTTTTGCAATATCTGGATCAAGAATGAGAATGGAGTTTTAATTACTCGTTTGTGCGATCAGAAATCATTCTAGCCCCTCGAAGAGTTTCTGTGCCACTCCAAAATTCAAATAGATTAGTTTCAGAGCTTGTTTTCACGGTTTTTTGTTCAATGACAAAAGAAAGTCAAGTGGCATCCTTGTATTCACTGATATCATTCACATATACCGCAATGTGGATTTTAGTCATTCGAAGTAACTATTTTTTTTTTTTTTTTGAGAAGATAACATGTCATTCGAAGTAACTCTAGAAATACAAATAACAATCAAACTCTTTAAGAGCTCTACATGGTTTGTTTTAACACATATAACTACTAGAAAACCATTAAGGAAGATTTGGAACACAATCCCTGCATGTATGCTGGAATATATGGAAGGAAAGAAATGTGAGATGCTTTGAAGGGAAGAAAGTGTACAGCAACTTAGATATAACTGCTTATGGCTTATGGCTTTTGGCTTTTTGGTGTAATCTTCAGGATGTAAAGGATGAAAATAGCATGTTAGATTTCATAGACTCTTTGCAAGATTAGGACCTTATTTGTGTACAGATATCCTTCATTTTTGTTTTTGTACAGAAGGATTACTGTCTGCTGTACTGTCTTAGCACCAACTTGGTGCTAAGTTGTTGCATTTTCAATACATAATCTACTTACCTTCTCAAAAAAAAGGTACTAGGAAATGACATGATGCCTATTCCAAATCAACTAGCACATAAATGTGCAAGCTTAGCAACTTCAGGAAAACATGAGCACAGGAATGCCTCTTGATTGATACTTCTGTTCTAGTATCTGGAATTAATTAAGAATTCATCGAGTCATCAAATACAAGACACAGTAGCTACTATCCACATAACAGGATTTAATAGATTGAAATTAAAGAATACCTCCTTCATTTCCTTTCTAATGGACAAACTAGAAATCTACTAATCACATTTGCATTAAGATGCTAAAAAACGAGGTTGATCTCGTTCAGGGTAACTGAGAAGGGAACACAGATCAACCTATTATGACTTATTTTAATACCTAACTGTTTTACCTAATAGGCTAAAACTACCATTGATCCAAAAAAAGGACTTATTGCTGCTCAAAACCAAGTAATAATTCTTTCTAATTTGGGATATCCCAAAATGTTTAGCATTACTTCACTGATAATATACCCTTCCAACTATCACCTTATAAAAAAGACTTACAACTTTCAAGAATCCATAAAAGAGAGGAACATCCATTAGAAAACAAAATAGTAGGAGCAAGATATAACTAGCACTAAAGCTCTTGGCTGACATTTCTATTCTCTAACGTGTGGCTATATTTCCGAACCTAGGAAGCCATACAGTATGGTTTGCAAGTTATTTCTCGTATCAGCAAATCTCTGTTTCTTGTTCAACTTCATTAATTTTAGCAATTGGAGGGGTGACATGAGTCCTTTCCTTCTCTTTCTTATACTTCTTCCCTCAACTCAAGATTCAAAATCTCCTCCTGTCTTCTGCTTATAAATGTCATTAACTTTAGAGGGTATAATCCAAGACAGATAGTAAAATTCAGATTGTTGGATATAGTTAACCTTATTATGCCCTGAATTCGGACAGAGCAACACGATCCAAATACAAAGAGCTGCTGACTTATTCATAGAATCCTATCTAAGCATAGTTTCTTACCATCTAATCAGACGAAATCAAACTATTAACGTAAAGGTTGCTTAACGAAAATGACACAAAAAGTAACTATTCTGATTGACTATGAAGTTGGAAACTAAGGGAACAGAAACCACATCACATTGATATCATTCAAATCATTAGCTATACATTCAATTCCTAAAATCTAAAACCAAATAAGTGCAAAGTTCATAGAGCAATCTAAAGCATCATACCAACTATAACACTGGATTGGAACTTTCTTTTCCCTCTTCAATAACGGACTCTTGTTGATCCGGATGAGCCATATCATATGTTGCATGGACACCAACAAGTACGTAGTAAATGAGCATTACAGCACTGCATAGGATGAACCGATAAAATGCTGCTTTACCTAGAGAACCTATCAAAAATATATTCATCCCAATTGACAATGATGGCAGCCATGGCACGAGAGGTACACCCCAAACTTTAGGAAATCTTTGTTTTGGAAGCAGTGCCATTACTAAAGTGCCTAACAACCACAAAGCGCCAGTCACAGTATACCCGGCCCAATTTTTTTCATCCATACTCCAGAGAACTGTTGCTCCAATCGATGAACCAATTACAATGGACAAGCACAGAAGAAATTTAGCCAAATCATACTTCGGAGTAACATCCGTAACGTAGTACCGCCTAACGAGCAATGCAACAGCCATAAGCATGAAAATGGAAAGTGTACTAAATGAGAACACGCTTGACAAGACATCCAAGCTCGTGAACAAAGCAAGAATGCAGCTAGTTATAGTCGTCAAGAGAGTAGCATAAATTGGTGTGCCAGTTTTTGGGTGAACCAGAGCAAACCATGGAGGAATCATATGTGCTCTTGCAATCTGAGTTGTGTATCGAGATTGTCCCATCGACCCAACAAGCATACTCGTAGTCATTCCCTTAAGTGCACAAATCCCCACCAAATACTTTGCCCAATTCATACCTATGCCCTCAAATGCAACTGAATAGGGTGCATTAACATCTACTTCAGTGTACTTAACCATCATAGTCAAAGCCAATGCCATCAAACAATAAACAACAGTGATCACAGACATTGAACTAACCAACCCCAGTGGTATATCCCTTGACGGCCTCTTAGTCTCCTCAGCCATATTTGCAACCATATCAAAACCCGTATACGACCAGTACACAACTGCTGCAGCCCTAAATACCCCACCAGCTCCAAAAGGGAAAAAAGGCACTAAATTTGAACTCTTCCCATGAACAAACCCAACAATTACAATAAACAAGATTACACCAGCACTAACTATAGAACTGACCGAATTCAATATCGACGTCCTCTTTGTCCCGGTCATAGCAATCCCATTTGCAACAGCAAGAATCACAACAGCTAAAGGGTCCAACAAGTTAAACCCTTCAGCAAAAGAATCAATCTTGATTCTTAAAAAATCAGCATCACTATTAATAATACTAGCAAAATAAGATGTCCAAGATCTTCCTAATCCAGCAGCCCCCACAATAGCCTCTAATAAAATATTCCCAGCAGCTATATATGCAACAAAATCACCCAACTCAACTCTCAAGAATGAAAAAGAACCACCAGCTATTGGAATATCAACAGCAAATTCAGTGTAACAGAAAACAGAAAGCAAAGCAGAAAGACCAGAAATAGCATATGAAAGGACAATAGCAGGGCCAGCATGAAGTCTAGTTTCTTGACCAGTAATGTTAAAAATACCTGAACCAACTACTGAACCAAAACCAAGCCACAGTAGGTCCCACCAAGTGAGGCATTGTTTCATTTCATTTTCTGACTGTTTTTTTAACTCAACTAATTCTGTTGTCTCTGTTGAACGACAAAAAAGGCGGTTCTTGAGGCGAGTTGGGGTTTGAGAGAGGGCAGTTTTGTAAGTGGAGAAATTTTGGAAAGAGGGTTCTGGGAAAAAATCTTGTTTGCTGAAACGCCAATACCTTTTTTGGGGTTGTTGGGTTTTTGGTGAATAATCCATTGTTGTTGTTGTTGAGGTTGATTGGGTGAGAGTGGCTTTGTTGGGGGGATTTACAATTAGAGGAGTTGTGAGATCTTGAGGATATTCGGAAATTGGCATGTTTTATGAATCAGAATATCAGATTATAGTTGAAAAGGGAGAAAATAGGAAGAGGAAATTTTGTGAAATCCCAAGATTTCAGGGGTAATGCAATCATTTGCTGATTTCAGTTGTAGCGGATGTATTTTACTTACTATATATATATACTAGTGTTTGAGCTGAAGTATTCTGTATGCGTCGTACTAGCCTCCTTATACCTTACTTGTTTGAATTATACCGTATGTTGTTGTTGTTATATATATATATATATATATATATATATATATATTAGTGTAAAAAGTCGTTTGATTTATTTAGATGTATTTGGACGGACGGGTTGGCATAATAGGAACAACGATTTACACGAGAGCTCTTCTTTTCCCTCTTTTTAATTGCCAACTTGTACTGCCACGTTTTGCATGACTAGAAAATTATTATAGCAATGAAAAAAAGATTACCTCAGGTTTTGTTATGTCGTACTAACCTTGCTTTGTGATTTTATAATATTACACTTACTTTCTATATTTTGATTTTTTTTGTACCATTCATTTAATATATTTATTATTAACATAAAAAGTTAGTATTAGACTATTTTGTCCTTTTCTAATCTCAAATTAATTGAGGAAGGAGATTGTATGAGTCAAAATCAGATAAGAGAAATTCGGCACGTGGAGACAATAAGACCGAGGTCGGACAGTCATCAATAAGGCCGAGGTCAGGTAGACCGATGTCGGACAGTCATTAATAAGGTCGAGGTCGGGCAGTGATGAAACAGCTAGTTTGCTTTGGATTTATCAAAGGGAATATATTTTTTTAGGATTTTCTATGGATACCCATTATAAATAGGAAGGGAATACTTCCCAAAAAGGGGCTCTCTCTCTCTCTCCCTCCCTCTCCCTCTCTCTAGAAAATATGTAAACATACCTTTTTAAAGAGATTAGACCATATGTGATCTCAGACCTTCATTAGATCCAAAAAGGGTCCTAAGGTTCTTATATCTGTTATCATTCATCTTTATCAAATAAAAAAGGATCCACTTCACTCAAGATTGAGTGAATCTTTTCCTTTATTTACATTTTATTGTCATTTAATGTTACTTAATGCATCTCTCTTTATGCTATTAAATCTGACCATAATCACTACCAGCATTTATACTCAGCTATGTTTTTCTATTCATATAATTCGTTTTGGATCTAGAGCTAATTATCCTTAACTAGAATTTACCCTCCATCTTCTTATTTAATTAGTTTAACAAAAAAAAGATCTCATACATTTTTTTGCTCAAACAGAGATGTGGTTGGAATGTATTAAAAAAAATCCTTTTTTTTTTAAATGGGTGGATCATAAGTATAGATCGGGTATTCGGGTGAGTTTTAGTTAGAAATAAGGTGGTTCTTTTTTAATCAATCTGTCTTTTTAGAAGGGACAAGGCATTTAACGGGTGGGAATAAATTTGATCCAAAAAGTGTTAGGTTAGTTACACTTAAAAACTAAGAGAATGGTAAATATAGCTTATTTTCGATAGTAGAAAGGTAAATATGATCGAGATATTTTCATTATTTTGTTAAAATAATTGAAATGCCCTTAAAGTCATTAACGCGAAAATGAGCTTATTGTCAACATTTTTAAGTTTAAAGGCAAACACAAATTAATGTGTATCTCAATTCACTTTAAATTATAAATTGATAAGAAATAGATTATTTTTAATAAAAATAAATTATTTATACAATTAACATATAATAATTAATAATTTGAGCACCAGATTATAAGATAAAAATAGGATCGTTTAGTGCATAAACTCTGCATAAAAATCTCAACCATTTTAATTTACAAGGTAGACCTAAAATTTGTAATTCAGCAGGAAATAGTAATGATAAAAGTTTATCGTGAAAAGATCACTGTTTTGAGATTTTGAAAAGGAATGAAGAATCACGTATGAGTATCCATGGAATAGCAAAAAAAGGTTCAACAAATGAAGGTTCTTCCGATATGGGCTCATAGCATGTCACGATCCGGAATCCCAACCTCGGAGTCGTGATGGCGCCTAACATTCACTTGCTAGGCAAGCCAACGTGAAATTGATGATTAACCAATTTTAACAGTTAAACACAAAATAATGATATTCAACGAAAAATAAATGCCAAGTCTAACACAGTATTAATATAAACCACGTGATAATTGTTGGGTTTTGCTATTAATAACAAAAGAGATGTGAATGAAAAATGGTGGAAAAAGAAATGGAGGAAAGTGAAATTTTGAATTAGTTCACTTTAGTAATGCACTTTGTCCCTCATTGGTAGAAGGAAAGAAAATCTTTGTGTATATATAGAGAAGCTCATTTTTTAGCTCTAAAAGAGTTAAGAAGAAGGCAAGCCTCGCGCCATCGTCGTGCGGCTTCGGCTTTGGTCAACGATTGATTGATTAATCTTTTTGGACAAAATTCTTTTCAATTATTTATTTAATTAATTAAACTAATTAACGAAAATTCAATCTGAAATAACCCATGAACTGTTCCAACAGCTATGGCTGTTCTGAAAGGTTGAAAACCTTTTAAAAAATAGTGCCAAATTGGCTATAAATATTCCTTCAATCCCATAATTTTTACATACTAAATTTTTTGATTATCTTATTCTTCTTCTGCATAATATTTCCAGTGTGTTTTACGACCATTGAGTGGTTCGTCGATCACCAGAATTTTTATTACCAATATGTTGGTGAGTTAAATCGTTCTATCCTGGGAGGATATATTCCAGAACCCCGGGTATTTGAGGGGAATAATTTCCTTAAGGATACACTGTGTATTCAGTGGGCTCAATTTATTCCTATATTGTTTTCAGAATTTATTTTTAACGTTCTACTTCTACTAACTTTCTGTTTCTGTTTTTCATAAAGTTTATTGTTTTATTGATTTTTACAGCAATACGGTTTTAATAACAATCTTAAGGAAATTAATTTTATTATATTCTACATTCTGTTTCTGGAGATTAAAACCTGTGTGATTTTCTACTCCTTCTAAATTTTATTATTCTGATTTGAAGATATAAAAACTTCATCAGAATATTAAAATTCAGAAAACGATTTGAAGAACATAAAAACTTCATCGTTTTCTATAAAACGGTATATAAAAACATCAGTTTTTTACGTACTGTTTACTGATTATAGTATTGTTTACTATTCTGGTTTTGCCATTAATTGAACTCTTCTATTATTGACAGTGAGAAATGGCAATTGATAACAGAAATCCTTTTGCGACTATTGCTACAACGACGATAGCCTCGTCAAGCCGCACTACTGTTCCTCCGGCCAAGAAACTAGGGAAATTTTCTGGAGCCAACTTCAAAGGATGGCACCAAAGGGTGTTCTTCTAGCTTACCACACTTGGTATGCATAAATTCACTAGTGAAGAGCCTCCAGTGCCTGCTGCGGACATGACGGACAATGAGAAGTTCATGATTGTTGAGGCGTGGAAGCAGACATATTTTCTTCGTAAAGGATATATCTTAAGCGCTTTAGAGGAATACTTGTACAATGTGTACAGTGCGATGAATACTTCGAAAGAATTATGGGACACACTTGAGAAGAAGTACAAGACGGAAGATGCATGCTTGAAGAAGTTCGTGGTTGTCAAGTTTCTAGACTATAAAATGATAGACAACAAAACTGTGGGAACCCAAGTTCAGGAGCTTCAACTTATTTTTCACGATCTTATTGCTGAAAGTATGGTCGTGAATGAAGCATTTCAAGTGGCTGCAATGATTGAAAAGTTGCCTCCTTCGTGGAGAGATTTCAAGAATTATCTTAAGCACAAGTGATCACGCCCAACTATGACTTATAAAAAGGACCCCTGCGGACGTTGCAACTATAACCTGAGTATTCTGCCAAGAGTCGAATCCACAGAGAGTTAACCTATCAATCACTATCTTTAGACCCACTAAACTCTTGAGAACCAATTTCCCCAAACGTTTGAATCACAGTTGATGGTGTCTTCAATAACTAAAATTGCAAGTAAATAAACAGCTGTAAACTAAGGATGCTAAGGTTGTAAACAATAATGAGAAAACGCTAAGGTAATGACTTCCCCTATTGATGGAATCCCTTCTGTTTATGCTTCATACAAATTGACCAACACCTCTCTATCAATCATGAACGCTCATCTTACCGTAAATCTCTCCCGAGTAATCACAGTAATATACTCAATGCACTCTCCCGAGATACACTAGCTAGCTCTAATTAACACGGTTCACTTTAGATTGCACTCAAGGCTTCGTTATCCCTAATCCCGCCTTTAAACCCGCAGTTATAGATCCCTCTTATACTTTGGGAGTGGTGTTGTTCAACAATAACCTAAATATTCACTCTCTCCCGAGTTATGCACACTAAATAGGCACAGCTAATTGAGGACCCTGTCAATTAACTACAACATACACAAAGTTGAACAAATAGAGATTGAGACTAGCAATTTGTATTCACATAAACAAGAAGTTCATCCCCCAATAGGTTCCATCAAAACCTTAGACAAAGGATTTAGCTACTCATAACTATGGGTAAACAAACTAAAATAATATTCATCATAAAACTTGCAAGAAAAATAAAGAAAAGAAGAAAAATGTTTTGGGTGATCTCTCACAATTGTTCTTCTTGCCAAAATACTCTCTTGGGCGGAGTCTAGTGTTTAAAATAGGGGTTTGGGCTAAAAATCCCGTGTTTTGCACTTTAGTCCCTGAAGTTCTCCGCCTCCGCCGCGGTTCTGCTACGGTCGCGGTCAAACCGCGGCCAAACATGCTCTCTGATTCTCACTTTGTCTGCAGCCCTCTTCTACCGCGGTGGAACCGCGACAATCCTCTTTCGGTTCTGACTTGAGCTGTTTCGCGTGGTTTACTTGACGGAATTTTACGATCGGCCTCTTTTTCTCCATATTTGACCCCAAAAGTACTCCATAGCCTTCTCTGGTTATATATAACCTGCAAAGCATGAAAAACACTAATAAGAGCATTTTGTTATCACTTTTATCATCCAAACTATACAAGACAGTGGTTATTTAGGGCCTAATTATAGTTAAATTCACCTATTATCAACAAGCACAAAGAAATGAAGTAGGAAGATCTTGTGATACGTCTAAAGATTGAGGAAGACAACAAAACAACCGAGAAGAAGTCTCGTGGAAATTCAAC